GTAATCCATTGATACAAAAATTGTTACCTTGGAAAATAAGACTTGGTAAACAGAATACCCTGGAAACTTATTTTCATACCGAGTTTGTGTTGCCTTACAACTTCATGATTGAGGAAGAGTTTGGATTGGCTTTTCATCAAATGTGATTTTATTTGTAACCTTCTTAGTCTCCTAAGAAGGTTACAAATGATAAATTATCCTTTTTAGGAAATTATAATTCCATTGTAAGTTTGTGCAGTCATAGAATGGTGGAGGATTTTTGTGTGCACAGTTTGCAAAACTGCAAGAATCTGTGGACAAGTTATTGATTGCTTGACAATGATAAGTCTAGTGTTCTTTAGACATGAACTGTGAAAATTGGGTAGAAGATTGCAAATGCATTACATTAAAGTATCTAATTTACAATTTAAAACCCTGGAAAGCTATTTATGTATGTGTAACATATGAACGATTTTGTGTGGATAGAGGCATAAGCTAGATAGTCCATGGCCTATCACAGCTAAAAAGGTGGTTCGCAATTCGCAAAGTTGTAGGCCAACTTGCAAGGTGTTTATAAGAGTTCATATTAAGAATATACAATAAATTTGGCTTGAAGGAAAATTGTATTCACTAAGATAAATATATCTAGTGTAGATTGCTGAAAACTTTTTTTCTCTTACTCTGCCTAAATTTTGTGGTGGGGGTTCGTGGTTGTATCATAAGTTTAAGTAAGGGTTTATCAGTATAAAAATGTTGGGATGCATTAAGTCTGATATAATGTGCATTAAAATATGTTATGAAAATACTGGAGAGGAAACTTCATACAAAAATTTTTTGTGTGCACAGTTTGCAAAACTGCAAGAATCTGTGGACAAGTTATTGATTGCTTGACAATGATAAGTCTAGTGTTCTTTAGACATGAACTGTGAAAATTGGGTAGAAGATTGCAAATGCATTACATTAAAGTATCTAATTTACAATTTAAAACCCTGGAAAGCTATTTATGTATGTGTAACATATGAACGATTTTGTGTGGATAGAGGCATAAGCTAGATAGTCCATGGCCTATCACAGCTAAAAAGGTGGTTCGCAATTCGCAAAGTTGTAGGCCAACTTGCAAGGTGTTTATAAGAGTTCATATTAAGAATATACAATAAATTTGGCTTGAAAGAAAATTGTATTCACTAAGATAAATATATCTAGTGTAGATTGCTGAAAACTTTTTTTCTCTTACTCTGCCTAAATTTTGTGTGGGGGGTTCGTGGTTGTATCATAAGTTTAAGTAAGGGTTTATCAGTATAAAAATGTTGGGAACCACTGCATTAAGTCTGATATAATGTGCATTAAAATATGTTATGAAAAATACTGGAGAGGAAACTTCATACAAAATGAATTATTCTTATTAGGAATATTATAGTAATGGCCAAGGATTTTTTCTGCCTAACTTAGCCTATTCACCGAGTATTGATGGTCTTGATGAACAGAAATTATATGTAGCATAGAGAATTTAAGTCTAAACTGGTCAAGAGGATAACATATTAGGAACGACTTATTCCTACAGGTCTAGGATATAATTATTATTATTTTAAAAAATATTGCATTTACTTTAGATTTGTTTAGGCTATAGGAATGTATAACAATGGACCAACACTCATGATTGTTATATTTTTTATAGCAAGCTTTGTCAAACCTGATCTAAGTTTAGGCGTAATCCTAAATTAACATAACTAGATCCAGCTAAACAAAACATCACCAAATCTTACCTGTCCAAGCCTAACTTTGTCTAAATGTGTTGTCTCAGTATATAGTTATATGTATAATATCCTTTAAATAGCTAGATTACTCTTTTTTTCTAATGTCATTCTGAAAAAAACATCATAAGGAACTTTAAAAAGAAGGCTGGGAAATTCACTAGTGTATTTGAATATTAGCTCTCTGACAGTGTATGGATATTGGTAAATTGATAAATAGATTGATAGATATGATAGCTAATACTTATATATATAGACTGTATGTGTGTATTTATGATATATGTGACTTTTAATAATTGTTTAAACTCACCAGTGAATTCTTTTTCAGATTTGTCACAACGCCTCCACACATGGCCCAGAGTGGAGGCGGTGGAGGAGTCAGTGTCAACAACCTCTCCTCGAACTACCAGCCTCCTCTCCCACCGCGACCCACAAACTATGGAACCAGCACTCCTACCTATCGCGGCTACAATTCCTTTGGCTCATATGGCGGCTTTGGAGGTTCCCCATACTATGGAGGAGGAATGGGAACATTTGGGGGCTATGGCGGGTATGGGGGATACAACCGATTTGGAATGGGAGGGGAGATGGGTCCAGATGAAAATGGGTAAGTGTCCTTTATCATTCCATTGGTTTAGTAGGTCTAAGAAAGAAGTTATAGTCTTTCTGTTTATCTAATAGTTATCTTTGCTTTTTATCATTCAATTATTCTTTGGTTTTTTCATTTGTCTGTATGCTCTTGCATGTACTGTCTATTTTATGTTTCTGGCTCTTTAGTTTTTGCCTTATGTCTCCTCCTACATGAATATCCATATCATTATCCATTTGTTTATATATCTATCTCAGGGTCATTGCCTTGCTGGAGCATAAGAGGCCCTTCCCCCTCCTTTTTCAGTGGTCCCTCAGTTTTACTGCTTGTCTCATCCCAATTTCCTGAAATGCATGATTCACTGAGCCCTCCTCTCTTTTCTCAAGTATTGTATCTTCCAACAGTATCATCATGAACTGGTCCCCCTTTATGTCCATTTATCCCTCTTGTCTAATTATCAATCTTTTTTATTTTTATTTTGGTAGTTATTTATTTTGGGATTGTCTCTGAAGTAAAAGTTGAACAGCATAGCAAGTTTTTTCTTATTTGCATATTATTCCTATTTCATTGGTTAAAAGGGACAATAAAGACAGTAGTTTAAATGAGCAGAGCTGAATCCCAGTGAAGGATGGGCATTACATGATTTTCAGCTGAAGTCATATACGAATTTGAGTGATCTTTTATATATAAAATAATTAGGTGTGTTAGTATGTCAACAGGACTATATTACACTAGATTAGATGCATTTGCTATCTACTCGGGTGTGGGCAGTCATGATGACAAAGTTTTACATATATTCGACATAGTACAGTATTCTGTGATTACTGTAATTGTATTTGGTAAAATGAAAATTTAAGCCATACATTGTACAAAAGAATATTAAGTTGATATACTTTTGCCACTGTGTTTACATAACAGTGTTCTATGATTACGGTAATATTACATAGTAAATTTAGGGTATAGTAGGAGTATATCTTCCAGTATATCAGATGAATTGAAATAATCACATAGCTCTTTGTACCTCATGGTAGGTGGTCTGAAAAGCTGTATCACATAAAAGTGTGAGACACCTGGAAATGTAAACATTACTGGGTGTCCTGCCGGTGCGATGCTAGGTCGGAGCTTGTGCTCTGATTTTGTCGCCGGGTGGCACACGGGTAAGTTCCAGAAAAATATTATTTTCGTCTTGAAAATGTATTGTTGCTAGTGTATTAATCACATTGTATTTTTCAGGTTTATACAGGCCGCAGAGGAAAGTTCGAGACAAGCCTTCCAGAGTATAGAAAGTATTGTTCATGCCTTTGGCTCAGTTAGTATGATGCTTGAGTCCACTTACCATGCTGTTCACAGGTAAGATTTTGTTTTGTTTTCTTTCGTTTTATTTTTTGATAGTGGATAAAGTTATTTCTTTCGTTTTATTTTTTGATACTAGATGAAAGTTATTGCTTTTAGCAAATTGTTTATTTTGCTTTTATTTATGCAAGTGTTCATTGAAAACTACATGGAAAGTGTTATTTGTAAACTATACAGAAAGGTGACAAAAGGACACAAGCACCTCTATCAGTGAATATGTTATCTGCCTTTATATAGGTTCTTATGAGGGTTTCTGCCCAAGTACTTTTCATTTCTGACTTAATATTTCATTATTTTTTTAGCAGTAAGCTTGCTATAGCAAACAAAGACACATACCAAATCAGAATTACAATTACAACAACTAAAACAACAACTAGGACAAAAACGTTTTTCTGGTGTTAGCTAAGGATTCAAAGTGGTTTTTGCAATTTTGAAACTTGATTCCCATATAAACAGATTCCAATTGGAAGCATAAACTCTGCTTGTAATTTGGCTCTATATTGCTCCAACAAAGTCTTTGGATAAGCAGTCTGTTTTTTAGGTACATTTGCCCAATCTGTGGATAGACAATAAAGTTTTGATAATATGACACTGGTGCTGCGGTAAGAAATATACCCTCTTTGTAATTTAGGGCATGTTGTATAGATATATTTCTAAAGCACAATCTGACAAGAAATATACAGATTAATTATGTTCATTGGTTTATTTGCAGTTCTTTCCGGGCAGTACTTGGAGTAGCAGAGCATTTTTCCAGAATGAAGTCCCACTTTGCTCAGATTTTTTCTGCATTAGCAGTTGTCAGAACTCTGAGATGGCTCTATAGAAAACTTCTGTATATTATTGGTAAGGCTTACATGCTTTTTTATGTACTAAATTTTGATTTTGATAACCTGATGATGCCATTGAGGGCATATGTATTTACATGTATATAGGAAAGGTGGAATAATGCACTACTGCATTGGTATGATGAATAAATAATCTCTTCGATTGGGACTCAAACCCTCACCGTTGCAGGCAGGTAACTGGAACATGGAAGTGTAGCTCAGTTATTAAGTGTCTGTCTTACAATTACCTGCCTGCTGTGGCAAGGGTTTGAGTCCGATTCAGAGAGGTTATTTATACATGTACATATGCCCAGTCCACTGTGGTTTTGTTTTATTGATTTTATTTATGCACAGATAACCCCAGAAGTGCTTAGTCATAAAAGCGTAGATTTTAGGTCTACGTGACCTCACCTATTTACCCCTTTTTTGAGTTATTAGAAAGAAGTGTGCATCTATTTACTATTAATATCATTCATATCATCATAATGACATTACTGTAATAAGGATAATAGTAATGGTTATGAAAAAGAAAAATTTCCCCTCAAAATCCAAGAATTGGGTGTATAATCAATTGACATATGTATTACTAAGTGCTTGTGAAGTCATTTATGCCTTAACAAAATTTATAAAACAACCACAGCAGACAGTGCATGTACCAGATACCTACAGGTTAATATTCATGAAAGATTTATGACTGATCTGAATATTATTATTGTTGTTACAATATTATTGTTGTTATGATTATTGTTATTTCATCTTCATCATCACAAATGTTCAGCTACATTATCATAATCTGCTGTTATTTCAATGATTTTAAAGGACTGAGAAGTCAGGACCCAAATTTGGAAGCCATTTGGCACGCTGCAGGAAGTATGCCCCAGTCTCCTGCGGGGCCGCTCACTGAAGCAGACCTCAAAGCCTCCAGGTCTTCTTGGCCAATTGTCATGTTTTTGGCCGTTGTTTTTGGTGGCCCATATCTTATTTGGCGCCTCTTGTCCTCGCTGGCGCCAACCGTCAAGTCCAAGACTAAGGCCTGGGTGACAGGGGAGGGAGAACACTATGCTGCTGTTGGTGTTTATAATTTTCAGGTAACATGTGAAAGGAATGGGCTGCATACGTAGTTAATGGTTTTCCATAAATGTTCAGTTGATATTTGGTTCATTGTTATCCCACATAGTTATACTTCATGTAAAATTTTCCTTTATATTTCATTAGCCAGAATCCAGTGATGAAGCATTATTTAAAAACTTTCCAAATAAGGAGAATTTGCAGAAATAGATGGTTTTAATTGCTCATGTCTTAACTTCTGTTGCATGTTGAATTGGGAAACATTGCTGGATCTTGCAAATAATTATTTTTATAATATACTTTTTCCCCCAATTTTCAGGCTGGAAACCAAAAAGAACTAACCTTCAGTGCGGGCCAATATTTGTTTTTAGCCCCCAAGAATCAGCAGCCCAATGTGCGGGGATGGCTCTTAGCATCAAACAAGAAAAACACTGGTCTAGTCCCAGCCAATTACATCAAGATTTTGGGTCTGCGACAAGGGTCACCTCCAGTCAGTAACAGTGTTTCTAAGCAGCAAGGTAAGGTTACCTTGTGTTTAAGAATCTCTTTCAATTTATTCAGATCAAAAGAGAGGAGAGATTGTTAATAGGTTTGGTTTTCTAAATGTGTGAAAAACAGGTATTAAAAATCTTCAGGTCTAAACCTGTCTCCTAATAAACCTAGTCGTTTGTTTCTAATTTTTTGCCCATAAAAAAGATAACACATCAAGATAATGAGGTGATATTTTTACCACTTGTAGCCCATACTGTTGTGAACTATAGATATTTAGTTGCCCACCACTTTTTCTTATCAAGTACCATTACCAAATGTATGTAGTATTTTGGTATGTAATTGATGCTTCAAGTGACAGTACTGTGGAAAATGATAGCAATCATACATTAGGGGACGACTTGGGGTATTGGCAGCCACCCTATACTGTTTTTCATATTTTTCATATATACAAATCTTACCTCTTGATTCAGTAATTTGTGATGAAACCAAAACAGGCCAATAATTGAGCTCATTCATTTTAAGAACATTGTTAATGGAAACAATTGAAGGTTGGAGGGGAATGGTTAGCTAAAGTCAGATAGCTGGGCTATGGAGCTCCGTTCGTCTTCTTTTTTTCATTTTAGTTCTTCTGTGTACTTATTACTCTGTAAAATTCATAATACATTTCTATGCTGACACACAAGGAAGTCACATGCAAGCCATATTTCAAGTGTGCAAAAGCTGGATGATTTGAATTCCTCTTTTTTGTTTGGGGGGTGGGTTCTCTTTGTTTTTCATTATTTGTGTCTATGTACATATCTGTTCATATCTGTATATAGAGGTAGGTTAGACAAATTCTAAATCATATCAGAAGCATGAAAGAGTGAAAATTCTAGAACAGACAGTTGCAGTAAATCCCTTTTTCCTACAAAAGAAACAAATTTTGGGCCTATAGTTCTCATGTATACATGTATATGCAATTGCCTTTAACTTAGTTTTGACCATGGAAGCCTGTGTCACACCTAGATGGTCCCCTTAAGAAATTTTATGTAGTTAAAAGGAAATTTGAGTGTTCAGCGTAAGTAACAGCAAGGAAAGTTTCTGACTTGAACTGACCAGTCCGTGAATATAGACAATTAACTATATCGCAGTGTTTGTGTGCTTATGGATTTCTATATTTTTTTCCTTTTTCAGATGGTCAAGGATCTGGGATCACAAGTAATATGGGTAACAGAAGTATAACTTCTGGGATTTCCGGTGTGCCACATTCGGCACTTCCTGCACAGTCCGAAGCTCAAAACTCATCAGATGATTATCATGTAATGGACGTTGGGAAGTTTCAAAAGTTGAGTATGAGTCAACCCACCCAGCAAACTGCTGCAGTACATGAACTGTCAACTCCAACCCCTACTCAGCCACTGGTTTCCCAAGAAAATGAAAAAAGTGAGATACCAGGTGTACATGACAATGGTAATTTTGCTCAGGAATATGCTAGTTATACAGACAGTGCAATGAAAGGACTACCGCAGACAGATATGCCAAACTGTGATGAAGACAAAAGTGTTGATCTGCTTCCGACCACAAGCGATGCAGCTGATGATACCAAAGATGATAGTCAGAAACTACTTGAAAAAACTACTTAATATGATGGGAACTAATGGAATATCATTTATGGCATTAAATGCTAAATATAGTATGGCAGGTATGCTTTGCTATACTGACTAATAATGTTGAGATGTATTATTAAGGTATTAGTGAAAATGTGTTTTCTTGTCTCTCAACTTCCATTTTACATTATTCAGTCTCTAATTATTGCATAATTGGTAATGGCAGACCTGTAATAATGGTTTACATATATTACATGATACTCAGTAGTTAAACCCTAATAGAATCATTATCTTCTAGTCATCAGATGTTTTGCATAGGTGGTTATATGCACACGCACACAAACTGTGGACACATGGATACACAGAGACACTCCCATACACAGAGATAGAGACAGATAGAGGTAGAGAGAGACAGGCAGAGACATTCACAAAGAGATAGAGAGACAGAGAGATAAAGAGAGAGAGTGAGAGAGAGACATCTATAATCATATAATCAATTGTTACATTAACAATGCCATGTGAGTCTTTTGACATGTTTTATTTGTATGTAGAAAATATAGGATTTATGTATATACTATAGTATATGAGGAAGTTTTTTTCTGAACAAACATGATATACAATATAAACACTGAAATGCTGAATAGAAAAAGAAAGAAATGTTCATTAATATTGTTTCATTCTTTAAGCAAATCGTAGGAAATACTTTTGTATTCCATCGTATTAGATAAGAAAATGGCAAATGACAAGTGAAATAAAGCAGTTCTCAAACTCTTTGTTTTTTTTTATGAAGGTTGATCATTTGCTCATGTATTCAGTCAAACTCCAGGGGTACAGTGAACCAGTTACAGGGTTTCAACAGAAGTCCTCCAAAATACACTGGAAGAACAAAGAATTTTTACTTTGGCTAATTTTCTTTAGATTTTCTAAATACAATCTTGGATTTTCATGCTGTGTTTTATTTGTTGATAAATTCAAAATAATCTATTTCTGTCAAACTGTAGGGGTTCAGCAATTTTTTTGTTGGTTTTATTAGAGTTCAGTGACGGAACAAAAGAAAATCATTGCTTAATGGAGACCCATCCATTTCTTTCTCAGGTCCTAGATTTTTTATGTCTTTACAACTCATAATTTACTTCCAAATCATGGCTAATGTTTGACAGTTTCACTGCTTATAGTCACAGAAATTAATGGATGGTTTATCAGTAAAAGACAAGAAATATTTGACTATGTAATAAACCTGAAGAATGATATTTATTGGGCTTTTACTTCAGACATCAAGTACATGTTTAGTACATATAAAGATTCTAACTATATTTTTCCCAGAATTAATCACTGTAACATAACCGTATCAATGGTCCTTGGTCCAGGATCCAACCCTTTCCATATTTTATTTTAAATTCTCTCGAAGGTCACCTTACAAACCTCACAGCCTAAGTAATCTAATGACTACCAATTTTTCAACCCCGTAACGATCCTGGCAGACTCTTCCTGGAGTACTTGAAGCCTGGTTCCGAGGCTGGCTTTGCTTCAGGATACTACATTCTGTTAGTCTAATCTGATAATATCCAGCCATGTTCTATGGGCTCAGGTTGGTTAATGCCCTCCCCCAAACAACTTCCCTGCTGCACACCTGGTTATAGATACCTAGCTTGGCCACAGCTTTCATAAGAGGTCCGTAAATTGACGGGACTCTTAATTTTGTGATTTTCCAATCCCCATTGAATTGTATTTCAAGTATATTTATCATGTTCATGTCAAACAGGCCCACCCTTCAGTGTATTATTTTCATTTGTTTTTTCAGGGTCCTCCAAGCATCTAAAGGGCTTTCAAGTCCAAACGGACAACCACAGTGGACAGTGCTGATTATGTATAGGAGGATGGTTCTATGGTCAAGACCTAGGTCAGGGGTCCCCATACTTTTTAGTCCACTGACCCCTTCATAGAATCTGTAATTTCTCATCAAACCCCTGGCATTTACAAAAATAAATAAGTAAATAAATAAATAAATAATAATTAAGTAGATGTGTTTCCATATACATATATGAAGGGAACTACATACCAAACTCTGCTTTCCGTATATAACAGTATGGGAAACTATACGAAGGCCAGAAATACAAATGCCACCGGCATTTATCAACCCCTATTTAACCCCCAGGCATTTATTTACCCTTTCATTAGTCCCATCGCCCACTTTGGAAACCCCTGCCTAAGGCAAAACTCATGGTGTTTACATGGAGTCCCTGTTTCACTGGAGCTCTTTCATTAGGCAGTTGTGAAAAGATGTGGGATGATACTTTCCAGACACCTAGCTTTCATAAGCATTAGATGTGGGTTGGTGAAATCACCATGATGATACTCTTATTCTTTTTGCCCAGAAGAAAATTGAGGAAAGGCTTCTTAACAAATGACTTACTAATATCAAGAGTTAGTTATACTACATAATTATATAAAAAATATGAACATACATATATCAATTAGGTTCTCATTCCTTAATCTCAAGAAAAAATCTGTTTACCTTGTGATGCGGATGATTACACCAAAATATTACATCCCTCTAAAAACTTTAGTAACATAAAGTAATGGCACACCCATTCAAAATATAAATGTAATGTTAGGCTGTGATAGCACTAACAAAAATCCATGATTCTTTGCTCACGTAATTTAATCAATTATTTCTACAACCACACTTTCACTTCCACCAAACTCTATTTTGTGGTTTTATTCCCATAGGTTTTTTACCCTAAGTAATATATTTATCAACTAATGCATTAAATACATGCCTGGTGTCACTGCTTCTGGCCGATGACAGTATTAATACCCTTAATTACCGCACCATTAACTAAATGTGACTTTTATGTCCTCCATGAAGAAACCCCTTGTTACTCTTATCCCTCACCCTAATTAAGAAAGATAAACTAGCATACAACTATGGTTTCAATAACAAAGAAATACTATAATGGGATTTAAGAGGTTTGGTCAATAGCGTCTCTAAACCGATTCTTTGTTGTTTTCATTTAAAGTTTATTTCCCCCCCCCCCCCCAATATCTTGCCCGTTGTTGTCGTGGGTGGGCTTAGGAGACGAAGACTGAGACCCAATACAGGGATCTCCCCTGCCTAGGGCCTCAGCCCTCGACTCAACTAATTTTGCATGGTCTTTTCCCTCTCCAGCTTTTGTTTCCGTCTCTTCTCCATCCCCTTCTACTATCTACTTCCTAAGGTGTGAGAGCCGTGCTGAGAGGATGAAAGGCTGACCTAGTACCAGTCCTGAACGGCCTGCGGGAACTATGGGCACGGTACTCCCGACTAATATAACCCTTACCTTCAGTAGCGGAAGGAGGTGGACCGTTTAGGCTTTTTTTATATAATCCAGGTTCCCCATGACCAGTAATGAAAATGTAATCCCTTTATTATAGGCTATGAGGCTAGCCCCTTTATCAAATAGCCCCAACCCAGGCTCTCCTTTGACCACGGCTCCGAACACTGAAACTACTACCAACTCAATGCCTACTAGAGCATTACCCACCCAAGCAGAGAATCAATCTCCAGAAGACATTCCTGCCCACCCAACTTCCTCAAATTCAACTCTACCCCTGCAACCTTCATCAAACAACCAATCCTCCCTTATTACTACCGTGCAAACTTATTCTCCATCATTCCGTAATACTCCCTCTTCCACACGTCCCCGACCATCCACCACCACCAACCCTACAGATATCTTAAATACTCTGTTTAGCCCAGCTAAATGGGACCGATTTTTCGTGATCCCTGCTACAGCTCCTTACTCAGGCAACACTCTTCTCTTTCAACAATAACTCAAAAAACAAGTAGGCAGAGTCCTTTTCTATACCAGACGCGATCGCTCCCGTCTGGTAACAGTCAGATCAGAAACTGAATCTATAGCACTATCAAATTTAACTGATCATTCTGGCAACCCCATTCCTGCAGAACCTCATCCAACCCTTAATACCTGTACCGGAACTGTCTCTCTCTCCCCAGTAAACTGCCCAGTCGATACCAAAGATTGGTCAGACTGTGGAGAAGACTTATTAGGATGCCTCAAAGACCAAGATGTGAAATCAGTACATTGCTACACCATTCCTCCTAAAGGTCAACGAAAGAATCCAACCAATATTGCCAAAATTACCTTCTGTACACATGACCTTCCCTTACGTATCTACATTGGTGGACAATCCCTCCCTGTTCGACCATACCAACCCCCTCCACGTCAATGTCAAAACTGTTGGCGCTTTGGACATCCTGCCAAACATTGCCGTTCCACAGACCGATGCCCCATATGTGCCCAACCTGGTCATAATCGATCAAACTGATCACAAACACGAACATGTGCTAACTGCGGCGGCCTCCATAATGTATTTTATAGAAGCTTACAAGTTTGAATCTGAGGTAGCAACTCTCAGATACAAAAATGGTCTCACTTTACGTGAAGCTATACAGGAAGCACGTCGACAAGGTTTCTCTCATACTCCATATTCTAGTAACATCGTTCGCTCAGCCCCTCCCCCTCCACCCCAAAATGTCCCCATTTCCACTTCTACATTCTACATCCCTCAGACCAGTTCCTTTGCCACTCTAAACCCAGACACCCCAATCTCAACCACAGCTCCTATCTCAACTACAGCCCCAACACCAACCCCTCTCCCTCCCCGCACTACCCGCAGTAGACAGACTAAACGTTCTAACCCTTCTTCCCCTACAGCACAATCACCTCCACCTACCTATACCTTTGTTCCTGAGACACCAGTCTCTTCTTCCCCCCCTCATAAGAAAACCTTTATTCCACAAAACTCTCCAACCAATTCCATTGCAGAAACAATTACCTTCACACTCTCCAACAAACTCCACTGCAGAAACAATGGATGACATTCAAAGCTATATGCTTGAGACACAAGATCCCATAACTCATGCTCCTTCCACACTTGAAGTGGTTGCCGATATTCATACCCCTCCTACTAATATTCCCCCTACACCCCTTCCTCCTACTCCCTCTCAACACAACCTAACCCCCTCAATCCCGTCCACCACTGATATTCATCCTCCCAATACCCATCCTCCTGATATTCATCCCCCTCGTACACCCCTTCCTCCTACACCCTCTCAACACAACCTAACCCCCTCAATCCCGTCCACCTCCGATATCCATCCTCCTGATATGCATCCCCCTCGTACACCCCTTCCTCCTACACCCTCTCAACACAACCTAACCCCTCAATTCCGTCCACCTCCGATATCCATCCTCCCAATATCCATCCTCCTGATATGCATCCCCCTCTTACTCACAGCACCCCTATACCCCTTCCTCCTAATCCCTCCCAAGACAACACATCCCCTTCAACTCCAACTATCCATCCTTCCGATATTCATCCTCCTAACACTAATACTCCCCCACATCTACTCCCTCCCAACACAACCCACCCCCTTCAACCCCAACTATAGGCACATTCTCCCTCCCTCCATCCCCTCTATCCTTTGCACTCCCTCCCGGATACACATGAGAATCACTCATGGCACAACAATGCCCTTCTCCAGATTCCCTACCTACTAATATCCCTCCTTTACACCCTCTAGCTCCTTCCCCTTCAAATTCCCCAACACGTACTTGCGTTATCATTCGTAAATCAACTAGGATATAGCTCTCCTACATTGGAATATTCGCGGTTTCCGCTCTCATAGATCAGACCTACGTCATATCCTTGCTTCTTATAATCTATCTATTATCTGCCTCTAAGAGACTTTCCTTACACACCCTCCTATTCCAATTCCCAATTACCATTTTATCTCTTCCCCACACTCCCTTTATGTCTCGTCTATACTTATCCATCATAAAACACCTTATGCCATACCTCCCATACAAACTTCTGTCCCGTGCACAGCTATTCGCATCTTTCTTCGCCGCTGGATCACAGTGATTTCAGTCTACTTCTCCCCATCCCATCCCATTGACTTTACTGCCTTTGAGACTCTAATTTCCCAACTCCAACCACCTTTCCTCGTAGTTGGTGATTTCAACTGCCGCCACACTCTGTGGGGTGACTCTACCACCAACTCCCGAGGCCGATCTCCTACTTTACATCTAGATTTCCATTGGTCAGTTCTAGACCACTTCCCCTATAGTGACCACTTCCCAATACTCCTCCTACTTCATATGTACCACTTCCTAATCCTCCACGCTGGTGCTTTGATAGAGCTGACTGGCATACTTTCACTTCACTCTCTACTATACCTATCCCT